GTGTGCATTCAACAATAGTGATACACTATGATTGTTTTTCACACTTATAACTTTTGCAGCAGCCCCATAGTCATGTGATCAAAATTCAGGCACATGGCAACTGGCGTGTATTTATGACGGTTTCAATGTCCCGGTCACTCTTTTGTGACTATCAATGGAGATTCTCAGTCATCCAGGTCATGGTTCTCCCACAGGTGCTTTTTCCAAAAGGCAGCTGGACTTTTTTAGTGTTTCCCTGCCCCCCCCCCCCTTTCAAAACATATCGCTTTTCATCCAAGCAGCTTCTTCACCTAGAAGACACTAGAAGCTTCAGTTAGAACTAAAGAATGAAAGAATCTCCTTGGTTGAGAAGTAACATTTTCAAGGGAAAAAAACACAAGAAAATCCAGTTGTCTTTTTTTTTTTTTTGGGGGGGGGGGGGGGAGAGACACCCTCGGAACATTTTCCCCACCTTTTGACAAGCAAAGTCAATTGGGAAGCCAGATTCATTTAACGACTATGTTACTAACTTAACAACTGCTGTGGTTCGCTTAACCACTGGGGCAAGAAAGGTCATACAATGGGGTAAAAAAATCACTTTAACAACTGCCTTTGGTTAGCAATGGAAATTTTGGATTCAATTGTGGTCATAAGTTGAAAACTATCTGTTCTGACCCAAGCCTTGTTCAAATTAAACAAACACAAACTGTGTATAAAAGCAACCCCTTTTTAATGTGGCGCTGGGAATTCAGTGCATTCCCAGCCAAGAGACATTTAAATCTAATATCAAAATCAAAATCTAATATCAATATCAAAAGCAAGCCCTTTCAAGGTTGCAAAAGGCTGCCAAGAACAGAAGATTGATTACTGATTAAATATCCATTGACAGAAGCTTCAAAAACAAACCAAGGTAAGGAGGGCTTCAACAGGGACTCTGAGTCTAACGAACTTCTTTGCTTCCTGCAAAGAACACATCTCTGAGGGCTGGTTTTTATCCCTTATGGGAGGCTATCACCTTCCAGCCTTACTCCCAAGTCGCCCTTGCTGCTTCAGCTGCTCTTTACTTCGAGCAGTCCTGCGTTCACGCACACTGGTCACAGGCTCCCTGGGGTCTTCTGTGTCACTGCTGCCAGACTCCACAAGCTCTGAAGGCAGCACCCCACTCTCCGATAGTCCTGGCCCCATCCCGGCATCACACGCAAGCCCCTCGTCTGAGTCTTCACTATCAGAGACCTCTGCTGTCCACACCTGCTGCCAGCGAACCACAACACTACCTATAGTACTTGATAGAAATCCATAAGATTCAAGACCTTGGGGATTTCTCAGCAAATGGGGTTGACAACCAAAATATATTCTAGGAAAAATGAATCCACCACCAATTATAATATTTCCCCGAAGACATGCAGATGCTTAACTGAAAACCAACTGGCAATTTAAAGTTTACTACATGTATGGAGATTTTTTTTGCCCTTTTTAAAAAGCTGCTACCTTTATGCCGATAAAACGGTAGAAGAAAATGGTTTTTGAACAGTTCCTGTTATTCAGAAATATTAGCCACAGGAATTTCTTGCTGACTGTAGTGGCTCTTCACATATCAGTGACCCAGTAGCAGAAATAAGAAATCCAGCCAAGGTTTTGCCAATTCAGATATCCAATCATGTGGAAACAACACAATGGGAGCAGCTTGATTGTCAAGGTTCATGAAGTGGTCCCTCTCAACCTTCTAAGTTATATAAAAATTGATGACTCAAATGCACAGCAAAGCTCAAGCATTCTACTAAATTCTGTAATGCCCAATCAAATATAGAAAGAGCATCAATCAATCTTTGACTCTTTGTCTCTGTCTCTCTCTCTCCTCCCATCCAAAGGCCAGATTCGTGAATAGAAGGCGGCTTGTTTGTACCAATTCCACAACATAACTTGCTCCCACCAGTTGTCTGGATGGATGGAGAGGGAAGAAAAACACTTAGGATGTACGTTTACATAGGACACACAGATATGACTACAAATGTGTATCCTTTATGATCAAAAAGGACACGCAAAGAGGACTTCGTAGAGCAGAATGAAAGCAAGAGGAACAACAAAAATACATGGGGCACAAAGTGAATCAGGTAGAAAAGTAAAAGGTAGCTATGTCAGAATACTGCCGTGGATGATACAAGTCTGCAGTAAAGCAAAACAAACAACTCTCCATCTCCTTTATCCTGGCACAATGACCACCGTGACATTGGAATAAACGAAGAAGGATACGTGCATGAAAATTTGAAAATCATGGAGGTAAAAGGAATGGTCCAGCTAGAAGACCTTTGAAATGCATTCCTCTTTTTCTGATTCCTCCTTGAAGGAATGAACTCTTAGAAAAGATTTATGGGTGACTGACCTAGAAATACTGGCGAACTTTATTATGGGACAGAGCCAAACCTCTAATAGGCTTCTGCTTCTACCATAAAAATGTTAAAAAATAAGTTATCCCAAAGTTTGATCATTTTTCAATTCAGATCTCTAGCTGGAAAGGATTCTTTGGATAAGTCTATTTCTACTTACTTACTTTGGAGTAGCCATAACTGGAGTCTAGAGGCACTTTTGCCTCTGATGGTCAACACAGAAACAAAGCACAAGAATATGCATAGTCCTCGACTTATAAAAACAACTGAACCCAACATTTATGTTGCTAACCAAGACAAGACCCTAACCTTAAGAGAAATATGCTCCATTCTATGACCTTTCTTGCTACAATTGTTAAGTGAGTCACTGCACTTGTTAAGTTAGTAACACGGTTGTTGAGTGAATCTGGCTTCCCCATTGACTTTGTTTGTTGGAAGGTCGCAAAAGATGATCACATGACCTCAGGACACTGCCACAAATACCTGGCAGTTGCCAAACATCTGAATTTTGATGATATGACTGTGGGTATGCTGCAATAATAAGAGTGAAAACGATCATAAATCACTTTTTTCAGTGCCGTTGTAACATCAAATGGTCACTTAAAAGAATGGTTGTAAGTCAAGGACTACCTTACAGGCTAAGTTGCCCTATTTGGCCTTTTCCTTTTGCCCTGGAGTGACACAATCTCTTTCCTTGCATAGTTCTCCCCCAGAGGACAAACCAGAAGCACCCTTAAACTCTTCCTCCAACCTTTCAAGATGAGGAATTTCTAATCCTGTTTATAAATGCTTCCAAAATTAAGGGATTGTCTCACATCTAGCTACATTGAGCACATTTCTCTGCCCAATACAATTTCTAATTTATCTTGTATCCTTGGTGGACAACAGGAAGCATCATTTCACTTCTTCTTTCCAAGGTCTTTTTGCCTATCAGCGTATTTCATGCAACTAGTGTGTTACAGTAAAAACAACAACAAAAAATAGCAGTGATGTTACTTAATGTGGGTTATGAAACGCCTGCAAGAAAACAACCAAATTCAAGAGAGCACTAAGGACCTCTCAAAAATATTAGTATATAATTTTATAAACCTACATAGACTCAAGTTCCGTTTATCAGATGCATGGATGTGTTTGTTGACATTTAAGTGATCGAAGGCAAGGGGAACATGGAGAGCGATGTCATTTTGTCACAGCATTATCAAATAAATGACGCAAATTCCATAAAATGCTTCATTTGCCTGATAATGCCATGGCACACACAATGTTCTCCTGGGTTAGAAGACTCTTAGTTTTTTTTTTGTCTTCGTAATCCTAAAAGGTGCCACAGATGAACAGGTTGATTTACCTGATGGCCCAAACCATCTTCTGTAGATGAATGTTGTAAACAGTTTTTCTCTTCTAAGAGACGCTCCTGGTTCTGTTCAAAACTACCGGCATCGTCATCCTCCGAGCTGGTGGGATCAACCACCGGTTTGCAATCCTGACCAAAACCTGGTTTCTGGTAACTGTGTTCACTTCTGATGTAGGTTTCTTCCATCTTTGGAGCTAAGCGAGGGGGCTCTTTATGATTTTGACTATGACACGTCCTTCCCGAAGGGTTAACGGCTTCAGGCACAGTTACAACCCTTCTTTCTATTCCAACAGTGATTTGGTCGTGATCCTTCCGCACACCGGTGCAAGCCCAGAGATGAAGATCAGGGTGATACTTGTTTCTGAGGTAAAAAAAGAAGAAGATGATTAATGCGGGTGAAACTAATAAAAGGATCAAGTCACGTAAGGAGTGTGTCAACTCATAAAACATTTTGGATACACATTTTATAGTTGTCAACAGAAAGAAGGGGAGGGTTTTCAAAGAGCAGGCAGCAGTGTGGAATCGAAAGTACATTCCATTCATATTTTCTTCAGAGACTGATTAGATGACTGAAGCTTCTGAATCGCAAAAATCTAATTGGACAGCATGATTGATGACTCTTGGCTATGGACGTGTTTTGTTGGATGATACAACCAGAGGGGTGTGGAGGGGAAGCAGGATCAAGGGTGACAGTGAATTATGTATCTGATTTGGCTATGCCCAGGCTAATGCCGGAATGTTAACTTCTAATAAAACCTTTTTAGTTTTGGGAGTGTGGCTCGAGGCTCATGATTTAATTGGAGTAACTGCCGGAATCCTGACACAGTGTCTTACTAGAAAGGAAGCCAAAAAAAAAAAAAAAATTGCTTAAGATTTCATTTTAAAAAAATGAAATGTTGATTACAATGAGGGGTTTCCCTGAGGAAACATCTGAAGCAGTGTTTTTCAACCTTGGCTATTTTAATTCCCCGTGCTGGCTGGAGAATTCTGAGAGTTGAAGTCCACACGTGTCAAAGCTACTAAGATTGAAAAACACTGATCTAAAGTATCAGATTGGATACTTCATATCATTAATAGAAATAATTGATTGAGAGGGAAATCCTCTGCAATATCAGTGTATAAGTAATCCTCAAAATTACATAGAAATTACAGAACCACAGGATACGCTTACTTTAGTATTCCAATCTTCAGCTGTAGTCCATGTAATATTTCTGTAACACCATAGACGTCCGCCAGAAGGCGATGCGTTGACACAATCTTTTTGGCATTTAAATGAGAATAATTCTCTTTTAAGAATGACAAGCCACACATGTGGCCATTATTCAACCAGTCTTTGTCACAGAGATATTTGGCACTCCATCTCTGACCTGGAGAAAACATGAAAGTGTGACTTTTATTATAACACCAAAATTCCCAGAAAGTTATTCTTGACCAATTATAATCAAAAGTGATCAAATTTCAGTAGGAAAAATGTACAAGTGGGAAGTAAGCATTTATTTAATTTTTTTTTTCAAAAGTTGCTAAAACAATGGAATGTTCTCTGTTTATCAGGATTTAAAACACCCAGAAGTCCACTCACACATTCATAATACATTGATTCAATGTTTTAAATCCAGATGAGTTCCCTATATAGAAAGACAGGAGTGCAGGTCACAACAGAATAGCACCACAATAATATTCAAAGCATTATAACCATAAATTTTGGACACATACAATGTAGAACATATACACACACACACAAACACAAACACAAACACACAGAATACACAAAACATGTACCGATGTTTAAGAAGTCTGTTCTTTCAAAAACAGATACAGGGTAGTCTTCAACTTGCAACCACTGATTTAATGACCATCCAAAGTTACAATGGCAGTGAAAAGTGACTTATGACCAGTTCTCACACTTATGACCATTGCAGCACCCCCACAATCACGCGACCAATGTATGGGTGCTTGGCAACCAGCATGTATTTATTATCAGTGGCACCCCTTTAACAAATCTATATATAGGGACCACTGCTTCTGATGACTTCAGATAGTGCCTCCACATTTTAAAAAGTCAACTATTTTCCACCTAGGATTCCAGAGGGTATGGGAAATCAAAGTTATTACTACTGCACACTTATTCCATTTCAGTGGCATAGTTATGTTTTAAAACTTTGACTGATCTCCAAATTACACTGTGAATTATAAACACCCCAAGAATACAAACACTACCTTATTGGCACCCGGTGGCAGGATACAGTCATTAGAGGCTTATTAGGCTGGTAAGAGTAGGAAAAGGTTGAGTTGCCAACCTATTTTGCAAGTGCACCAGGAAAACAATAATAAAAAGTAGGCTTAATTGTCCAAGCATTCCCTAAGTGCATTACAGAAGTAGACAGTGATCTTAATACTAATATTAACATGAAATGCAGAGCTTGGAAATGAGTTCGAAAAGATCTTGAAAATGTATCCTTACCAGGTGGATCCCTGCAAATGTAGCAGATATATTGCTCGGGAATGCTGTCTTCCAACAATCCCATACACGCACTGTGTTGCCAACACAAGCACTCTTCACACTGTGGGAGTAATAAGAACAAGCAGAAAAGTAAATGCAGGAGATGGAAGATATAATCAAGCATCAATTAAGATGTAACGTCATCGTGCACATTCACATTGTAGCTCTTACTGGCAAGTGCTCTTTTAGTGCAGATACTCTACAGCTTATGGCCATTTATTGAACCACGGTTCAAAGCTATGATGGTCTTGGAAAAAGCGCTTTATGGCCTGTATTCAAACTTATGACTGCTGCACATCCTTTATGGTCACCTGTATGCAAGTTGGGTGGCTGACCAGCTGCACAGTCCTGCGGTTATGTCAGAGGTCTCCAAACTTGGCAACTTTAAGGCTAATGGACTTCAGCTCCCAGAATTCTGGGAGTTGAAGTCCACAAGTCTTAAAGTTGCCAAGTTTGGGGACCCCTGGGTTATGAAAATGTGGTTTGAAATATTTTTTGCCGGTTTCTGGCAAAAAAAAAAAAAAGAGCATCTATTGGGGAAGCTGCATCTGACCACATGATTCACTTAACAACCATAATGGCTTACTTTATGACTCCCATAAAAATAATCAAAAAAATTTAAGTTCAGTCACATAGTGACTCTGCTTATGATCCTATTATCTTACAACTGAAATTCTGGTCCCAATCCGTAAGTTGAGGACTTTCTGTACGTTGAGTGATTCTATCTAATACAGAGGCCAAAATCTAATTAAGTTTCTTCCTGTAGCTTCAAATAAAACAACATAATTACTTTTAAGATCCACTACTACAGGGCTGCATCGCATCTTTTTTGCTTTCTTAAAATTTAAGTCCACCTTTTGACTAGGTAGTTGTTTAACAGTAAAAGCAACTCAGTCGAGTAACTTGTCTCACCTGAAATTTGCAGATAATTTGGTAAGCAATAAATGTGGCAAAGCCTGCAAGAATCATTAGGTAGAATCAACAAATGGGAAATAATCTAATATTTTCTTTAAAAAAATATCTGGGAAACTTCTCAGTTTCTTACCATTACAGGTAGTCCTTGGCTAACAACCATAATTGATCCCAGAATTACAGTCATAAGTCATAGTGGTTTGCCTGATTTAATTACTTTTGTTATGATCACTGTGTAACCGCCATGTCATTATGTGAATCCATTGTACTGCATGGACTTTTTTTGCCAGAAATTGCAAATTAATGCCAGTTTCTTGAGAAAAAAATAAAATAAATCGGAGTCATGTGAATATAGGACTCTGCAAACGGTCGTGAATGCGGTTTGGTTGTCAAGCATTCAAAATGCGTTCGCATGTCCATGGGGAGGGAACGGCTATCAGAACTTCAAAATGGGGCGATTAATTCCCAGACAACCAGAATAAGAAGCAAGAATCGGCTTTCTGTCGGGATTCAGGCAATTGCCCGAATTAAATCATGAGCCTCGAGCCAAACTTCAAAACCTATAATGAATTTATTAGGAGCGAACATATCGACAGGACCTGGTTGAAGCCGGTTCTGAGACAGGTAATTCACTGTCACCCTTGACCCTGGTTTTCCCTCCACCCCTTTGAGTGCATCATAGCTCATATTCTCCAACAAAAGGAGTCATCAATCATGTTCTCCAATTAGAGGTTTGCCCTTACAGAAACTCAGGTCGCCTAGTTACAATCTCTGCAAGTTATGAATGGAATGCACTTTCAATTCCAAACTGCTGCACTGCTTTTTCAAACTCTTTTCCCCCTCCCCCCTTTCTGTTGGCAACTATAAAACTGGCATAGAAATGTTTATGAGTTGACATTGGCCTTATCTCAATGATTGTCAGGCAATATAATGGTGATGAGCATAGAAGATTGGTAGAAGAGCCACAGCGAAGGAAAGAGTCAAATAAGATCCCGAGAAGTTAGGGGGGAGTGGCAAATGTCTCAGAAGCCAACATTTCAAAGTTCTTGGAATGTAAAGGTTTGTTTATTTATTTAGATCAGAAGCCTCACAATATAAAGGTGACAGGGAAGAAAACCACTTTCTTAAACTTGCAAGTTTATGTTAATGAAACTTTAGAACAAGGTAGAATTAATCCGGCTGGTTGTGCTACCTGCCCAGATTATTTTTTAAGGCTATCTTAACATAAATTAAACCTTGCAATTCTGATCTTCCTGATCAACTATCTCATATTTTTATAACATTAATTATATGCATGAATGAAAAGATTTGGCTTCCCTAACCTCACAGTAACAAGCAACAAATTCATTTTGCAGTCATGGTCTGAACCATGAGTGTTTTAGCAATAAGATCTGTGAGCAGACTGGAAATCCGCTGGATCGATCCAGCCTGGAATTCATCCTACCAACAAGGGCAGAATACTATAAATTACTCTGGCCTAGTGACAACGAAGAACCTGGGTGAAAACTACAATGAAAATTGGTTTGCAAACAGTTCTTACCTGAATCATGAAGCCTTTTTCCTCATCCATTTCGCAGATGCACCTGACTATTTCGTTCAGAGCGTCCTCTTCGTCTTGGGACTCTTCAAAATTGGTCGAATCAAAATCCTGATTATATTCATCACCACTCAACAGCAAGCTCTCGGTGGAAGAGTCATCCAAAAACTCCATATCAGAAAGGTCTGCGAGATGATTTGGAGGGGATTTGGATGAACAGGTATTAAAAAAAATATAAATAAGGTCTTTACAAAAAAAAAAAATTATATAACATAAAAGAAAGACTAGGGGGTGACATGAGAGCAGTCTTCCAATATTTGAGAGGGTCTCATGAGGAAGAAAGGGACAACCTGTTCTCCAAAGTAGGCAGAACAAGAAGCAATGGATGGAACTAACTTAAGGAGAGAAGCAATCTGGAACTAAGGAGAAATTTCCTGACAATTAGAACAATTAATCAGTGGAACAACTTGCTTCCAGAACAACTTGCTTCCAGAATCATTGGAATGACTTGCCTCCAGAAGTTGTGGGTGCTCCACCACTAGAAGCTTTCAAGAAGAGACTGGACAGCCATTTGCCCTAATTGTGATGCCTAAAGAAGGACTACCTGCATTACAGATGGTGTTCAAAAACCATGCGATCAGTATGACACTGAATTCATTTGATGAGCTTCTGCAACTTGGCGCCGAACAATGGAAAAATGTCTACTTGATGGCACATGTTAAAACCAAAACTTCTAAACAAGCGTATTTTGATTAAGTGCCATCAAGCCACTGTTGAATTTTAGCAACCACATAAATTAAATTAAAAAAATTCTCTGTTAAAACAAATATTAAAGAAGGGGAAATCTATTCACAGTAACTAGGGACATGGAAACCTCTCAGAAAGTAACGATGCCATAAAACCATAAAGTATGGTTTTTATAAGGGACAAATGTCTTCTGATCAGGTACCATTGAGTTCTGATGAAAAATTAATTAAGTAGGTATATAACTTTTTGTTAAATTTAACAACGTAGGATGAACAAATAAAAGACATAATGGTACTTTGGGAAAAAAAACTTTGGTTGTAACATAGAACTAGAGAAATGGCAAAATTTATGGCAAAGGAACTATAGATTAACAATAGCAACTTCTTATAAAGAAAATCTATATAAAATGCTTTATAGATGGCATTTACCACCTGCTGTTAGCTAAAATGTTTAAAAATATGTCTAGCAAATGTTGGAAAAGTGTAATCAAAAGACAGGCACATTTTATCATGTGGTGGACTTGTGTTAAAACAAAAAAAAGGAGCTAGAACAGGTGGCTAGAAAAGATGATATATGTAGATTTTAAACCTGAACTGTTTTTATTAGGCATAATATCAGAAAAATTAGGTAAGAAGTGTGTATTTAGTCTTACATGTTGTAACAGCAGCAAGGATTATATTCGCACAATATTGTAAACATGAAGAAACACCACAAGATGAAGAGTTAAAGATACTAAATTGTGTAGAAATGGAAAGATTGACATTGAAAATTAAGCAGAAAGAAGACACAGAATACTATCAAATATGGGATCTATTTTATCAGGGGTGGGAAAAAACGGGGTAAAGATTAAGAATGTAATCAGAATTGTTAAGCAACTTAAATACCCAGACATGATGTTTTTTTAATCACTAAGAAATGTAATTAATTTAAAAAATCAATAAAATTTGGGGGGGGGGGGGAAAGGAAGTAATGATGTGTTATTCGTTTGGAGGAACAAAGTCTGCATGAAGGGCGATGTACCTTGGAAACAATTCTGTGCAAGTGGAATCATTACATTAACAGGAAAAACGGGAAAGAGTATCGCAGAGCAACGCAGACCTACTTTCCCCGCTGAGATCGACAGACAAAATAGCCCTTGGGTACTGATAGGATGTGCTCTTCTCCGTTGTGGTGCTGCGGAGAGTCAGCGAGCTGCCAGAAGACCTAGTGAAGGGGGAGGAGCACCCATCGAAGTAGTCAAGGGAACTATCCTCGAAGTCGGAGTAATCTGAAAAAGAAAATCACAGGGGTGCAGCTGTAGGAGGATGTAGGGTACGGAACAAAAATGCAACTTTTAATGTTTTAATCCTGAATGTTCAAACGCCTGAGATATTGCATCGGTTGGCTATGAAGTGATTTATCGAGAAAAATATAGGGCAGGAAGTCAGCTAACTCCCCACTGACTGGCAACCCAGACTGCGATAGGCTAAATCAAACATGGCCCGAATCTTGGCCTTATATTTGAACAGTAAACAATTATCAGCCACAGAATGAATATACATGTCTCAGGATAATATTGCAGGATCTAATCTGGGTCGGTCACCGGGAACAGAGGTTTAGTCTTCTGAGCTTTCGGATTCATGCTAAACCCCATCTTCTCTAGGTTAGAGAGGAGTTCCCTAAAGATGGGCTCCAGCACAAATCCGAAAGTTTGGAAGATAAAACTTCTGGTCTTGGTGACAGACCCAGACTGGATCCTATCAGCCATAGCTGCTTCTTCCTTCCTGGTGGCCAAGATCCTGCCATCTTGGCAATAGGTGACCTTTCTTTCTTTCCTTCTCTTTCTCTCTTTCCTTTCTTTCCTTCCTTCCCTCCCTCTCCAAAATTGTACTGAAAAATAGTGTCAAAATCTGTAATGGTCCAAAATCAGGACCACCATTCATGGAGAGTTTGGGTTTCCTCTTCTTTTGGTGTTCTAATTTCCTGACTGTACACAACTGCAAGAGAATCTTTCTTCAGTTCTTCATTTTCTAAATATGAAAATATTCTACAAACCATGAGTAACAACTGAAGTTCTGGCCGAAGCACCTTTTAAACTATGGTTCACGTACTAAAGACATGCCAGGTCTCATCAAATCATAGTTTAGCCTGTCTTGTGATTATATTCAAAGGTCTAATGAAGGGTGGAAGTTCGAATCAGTTCTCACTTCCCTGTTCAAGCTTTTCAAATAACAACAGACCTCTGGGATATGCCAACTGCCATCTTGCTCTTCAAAGTTTATATGTTATAAGCTTCTTAGAATCAGAGTAGATGTCAAGAGAACGTTGGGATATAATAAATATCCGGATTTCAGGAGAGAAGCACAAGAGATCCTTGACATATTGCAAAACCAGTCAAGTAAATCATACATTCTTTTGCTTGTAGGAGTGCCCAGAAAATGGTCTCAAGCCTTTCCGATAACCATCAAATACATGGAATACTTAGCAGGGATGAACTGGAGCACCCATTGCTATTCAGAGAAGAAATGTCAAAGAAAAAGCACAAGGTGCACACTAGAAGACAGGTAAAACTAGTTAGCAGGTTGAAACTGGAGGAGAGCCAACAAACATTTTAAAGCAACGTTTGGGGGATTTTATGAGCACCTGCTTTAAAATCTAACGCATCACCAAATGAGAAACCATGAGAGCACGTTTTGTTCATTTGTTTATATGTTGGGTATACCATGCTGTTTCGATTTCTTTTTTTTCTTTTTCTTCTTCTTCTGTTTTGACTTCAGCTCTTTTTCCTTCTTCTCTGTTCTCTCCTTCTCCTTCTTTTTACCTGCATTGCAAATGAAATATTGGTTTTAATTTAAAAGAACCCAACTCACTTAAAATAATTGTCATCTAGTATCAATATCCTGCCTGGGGAAAAAAAACAAGACAAATTGATCAACTGGATAAAAGTGGATTTAAGCACTGGGAAAAGAAGTGAAATGTGAAAGGACCAATTTTAAACTAGGAACTAAGATTTATAGTGCAGTAAAATATAATCAAGTATGAAAATACCCCAATATATATAGCACTAAGCTCTAATGTGGTTTCTTCATTTTTTGTTTTAGCATATATATGAGTGCACAAAACTGGCACTTTTTAAGAATGTCAGGGAGAATGAAAATACGAAAGACATAACTTCAGTGGCATTTTGACATCAAAAAAATACAAGTCTATTAACTAGTAGAAATTATATCTGTTTAGCAACTGATCCAATTTACAAAATAATGTCAGTCCTTATATTTTTCACTTTAGTAAGTATAACTCAGTGCCTCAAAAATAACTTGAAAAAACAAAACTATCAAATCATGCCACCAATAATTAAAAACAGGTCATTTATAAGTGATACAGATAATTTTTCAAAAAAGATAAAAAAGATTACCATAAAAGTTCTTAATTTTATGTTCATACCAAGTAAAGATGTGGATCTTTCTTCCAATTTTGATTTCCTCTCAATTTTCAGTGTTCCTACAGAGTCAAAGATGGTACAGATGCAAATTTAAATTTTAGCCATATTTTAGCCTAAAATTTAAATTTTAGCCATATTATTTCCAAAAATAAAATGTAGTTTCTGTTCAATGATTATTCTTTCTGGAAAGATTGGCAATGATTCCTTGCTGTCTCATAGTAAGAGGTTGACAGATTAAGCATACTTTCATGATTTGAGTTTAAATATGCCAAACCATAAAATATAGTATATAAACCAAGTTGTGTGAAATCATATTGCATGTTAAACCCAAATCAACCTTTACGTGTGAACCTAATCTATATGTTTCTATACATCTTGGACCTGAAAGACTGTCAATGTGCATTAAGTATGGGAAAATTTACATAAAATCAAGGACTAAAAAGATTAAAAACAGTCTAAAGACTGTCACTTCCACATAGAACTCAATACAGTAGCAGGATGAAGGCTAGCTACAACAGAGTTGTCCAATCTCAATTATAATTACAAATTAAAATAATTATCCTTTTCTTACAGAGCAATATACAAGGATTTGGCACCAATAACCTCTCAAACCAATTGCTCTCTGGGGAATGAACTGGACATATGCACAAGTCTGCAAACATGCATACAGACTGCATTTTCTAGATACACATCAAAGCATATACACAGAGACCTGTGGCTCCCTGAAAAGGCACATTCATGTTTAACACACTTGAAAAAGATTGACGGAGATTTTACCTGGAACCACAGGAGCTATTCTGCCATCCGTTCCTGTTTTGGAAAGATGGCATCTAATAATCTGGTTCTCTTCCTTCTCCTGCCTGGGATGTTTGCTATATAGGGTAGGCTCCCCAGGGAACAGGGCTGAAACATCCAAGTTACTGCTTAAGTCAAGAGGAAGACTTAGTCCATGCTTCTCAAGGGATACATGAGCAACATTGGGAACTACACAAAAGAAAGAATGCAGTATTAACAGATGAACATTGTGTTCTAGGCGTTGTTAAGTAATACCCCTAAGTGTGACAAAGGCCTGGCTTACTAGCCAGCAGCTCTTGTTAAGACAGGCAACTTCTTGTGAAAGCGTTATTTTAAGTACTCGGTTCCTCTCTGGTTCTGTATTAACAGGGAAATACGTTACCCTCCAGTAATGAGGGTGGGTTCATTTGGGGCATGAATTGAGAACCCTTTACCATGAATGACTGGAGAGAAGGGCGGGGGGCGCTTTTTCTAGAGAATCATGAAGCAAGGACATTTGTCCCTAAGTGTTGTAATCTTCGTCTCCCGTGGCTATTTTTGAAGGATCTAAGGATCTTCACTGGCTGTGATCCACCTAAAAAGAGACCTTGGAATGTAGTTTCGAAGCAGATACAACTAGACGTCTCATCTAGCTATCATCTTTTTAAGGGTTATCATCAGGCTGTTGTTTGAAATATTTCTAATTTACATCTTTAAAAACGACCAAAGTGGTGGGAAGGATAAAACTGACTAGGAAGGTTTTTGAGAGTAACAGCACAGGAGCAATCACTAAAAAATTACTTGTGAAAATCATTACAGGAAAATAAGATTACCTGGAGCCGGGCTGACACAAAAGGCCACGAGTAGTATTAAAGACATCTAATCTAGTGGGTTTATATAATGTCTCTCTTTTTAACTCTTGAATAAAACTGAAGAATGTTGTAAAAACAATGCATACCCTTTTTGCCAGCATACCAAATCGAGGACTAAACGACCCAATTTTTTTTTTTGAACACTTAAAAAATACTATGTATGCTGAATACTGGGCTTCTAGAAGCAGTGTGTATGTGTGCGTGTGTTAATCAATCATTTTGCTGACAGACTGTAGACAGTCTACGTTGTTAGCTGTCGATAAAGATATTACTGTTATATTACTTAAATCTGTATTTATGGATATTGGATGATTTAATCGTTGCTTTTCAATTACTGCTCTGATGCGTTCAGTGTTAATTTTGATGAATTGCCTCCAATCTGGTTTGGTATTTAGCTATATTTAACAAATTAAGTTATTAGCTGTAACCTGATTGGGATTACCTTCAGGTTTTAAGCAGCTGACATTTTTTGCAATGAGTAAACTATATCAGCAGAATCAACTACTGGATTGCTGGCTATGATTTTTTTTTACTATTTGGTCTTTTGTAGCATAACTGTGAGCTGCTGCAATGTTTAATACCTACTTATTTTTTTATATATGATCTTGTAATCTTGTACAGGTAGTCCTCGACTTATAATAGTTCATTTAGTGACCGTTCAAAGTTACAGCGGCACTGATAAGTGACTTATGACCTTTTTCAGTTACCTTTTCAGCATCCCAATAGTCACATGATCAAAATTTAGATGTTTGGCAACTGGTTCAGACTTATGACCATTGCTATGTCTCAAGGTCCCCTTTTGCAACCTTTTGACAAGCAGTGTCAATGGGAAATCCAGAGTCACTTATCAACCAAGTTACCATCAACTTTACTGTGTCACTTAACAATGATGGCAAGGAAGGTTGTAAAATGGGTCAAAATTCACTTAACAACAGAGATTTTGGGCTCAATTGTGGTCCTAAGTCGAAGACTATCTGTATTTATAAGTAACATTTATTATTTATGCAATTATTCATAAGTTCTTTCCCCATAGAGACAGTAAGTTGTCCTCTTTCAGCACACTTCTAGAATTTGCCTATGGGGAGAAAGAAATTATGATTGTGGTTAACAGTTTCATCCAGACAAAATTAAACATTACAAAATCACATTAATTTCAGTGGGAAAGGGTTTGCTCCTTCTGCTAAATATATTTGGACCTCAAGCCTTATGAGAGACTCAAAGCAAAGCAGTTAATTTTCATGCATGTGCAGTCATGAAAATCACTTCAGAGCTGTACCTTACAATCCCTAATTACTGAAGCTAAGATATTTTTATTTTTATTATTTAAAAGGGCATGCAGAACATCCCATTTCAAATTGTTTGGAGCACGCTTGCACAGTGCTCCAAATGAAAGTATTTTTTTCCCTTAGTGAAATATGGCCCACAAAATTTCACACGGGAAACTATTTAAAAATGATCTTGATTTAAAAAAAAAATCAAAGAAAGGGAAGAAGCAGTGGAAAACATTCAAAGCAAAGCAACAGTTTTAATTATTAAATGGAGTTTTGTTTTTTTTAACTGCTCCCTTTCCCTATTTAAAAGAGACTCAAATCACCCTCAGGAAAGATTACTTATAGACTTATGCGATGTTGCATCTACTGGGGAAGTAATGATCATTGAATATGTTTTATCATATTTTTTCAGGATAACTTTAGTTCAGGTTATCCATTTCTTATTCCCTGCCCTGTTAAGTGAAAATATTCTCTCCAAATCGAATGGATTTGTACATACTTCTTTTTGGATCGTATCCTGAGTTTTCGTTCAGTGCGTGCCAATTAGAAGGCAGGCCAAGGAAACAGCTCTTCTGATTCTTCATTTTTACCATTTTGGGGGAGCAAAGTAAAAGGTTTAGGCTGCTATTTGACAAAAATAAAAACACCTCCCAACATCCTATAATCTATAGATGAGAAAGGATTAAACCTTTGGACAAGGGAAGGCGTGCTGCAGTTGGACACGAGGAAGGGAACAAAAAAAAAATCCTCTTTTTTGTTGATGCTGAACATGCTTGGGCATCTTCTAAAATGGTAGAGATTTCAAGGGATACATTCCTGGGTCTCGTCTCAGAAAGCAACTTTTGGATCTTTATCCCAAAAGTGGAATACCGCTGCCTGTTAACCAGTAATGGAGAAAATAAAGAGTTGGCTCGTCATGCTAGAAGAAGATAAGACGGGCTACAAAAAACACAGGGAAAGCTCTCCTTCTTCTTTAATCAGCAAGATCACAAAAGCTTTGCTGTTCTGTGCAGTTTGAGGCATTGTGTGTGCTCGAGAGGAATAAAACCAAAAATCAGTCTTGAATCAGTCACCTGGTATAATTTGGGAAAAACTGAGGGGGAAGAGAGGAGAGTGAAGTAGAGTGGAGAGGAGTGGAGACAGGCTAGGGTAGGGTAGGAGAGACAGAGTAGGAGGAGAGGAAGTGGAGGGGAGACAGGGGAGGGGAGGGGAGGAGATTCCAGGCAACAGGACAAGGAAAACTTTGCAAATTGGAAGAGCAGTTGGTTGCTTTTAAATTTTCTTCTGTTCCTCAGATGTTAAAGATACAAGAAAACTTTTCTTGTATTTTTTTTTTCAGGTGAATTGAATTACATTACTGTTAGACTCCATGACATACCTTCCTTGAAGTCCTGTTTCTTGCTTGCTTGCTTTTTTTTTTTTTTTTTCAAAAATCTACTTAGGATCAACAAGCCATATTCAAAACAAAACCACCACCACCCACCAATGATGACTTCTCAATTACGGTTATGTTTTAAAATGTCTGTGCTCACTAGTTTTATTTATCCCAGAAGAAGGAAGCTGGGAGACCAGGGTCAAATCCTCCACTTGTATTAACTCTGGGGAAAATGGCGTTTTAAGGGGCTTTAGACACCCTGCAGAATCTCCAGATTCTTGTTTGCATCTCTTGCTGCGAGACTTTCCTGAAGACAAGTTGGAGGGCAGCAGTGCCGATTTCTGAATGTTGGCAGAACTGCTAATATCAGCTTCATTTTTTTTCTGACTTTGAGGCTTAGGTGATATCTCCTGAATAAATAATAAGAAATTGATACTTTTATTGCATTTTCTTCATTGTAGCTCTTGCATTCTATTTTTGTTTTTGTTTTTTTGTTTTAAAAAAAGCAACTTTAGCATTTAAACATTTTTTCAGAAGGAAAGAAAAATTTAAATTAAGCATTTTAGTATTTTAAAAAGGGACTCGGCCAAAGACCATCATCCCAATCCAGTGATCTGCTCCAAGCTGGAGAGATGTGACATGCCTTTGCAAGGCCTCTTCTGTGAACATCTCCCTCTTCATTTCACAGGGAAATAATGTTCCATACAAGCATTCTTGTACATCAGCAGGTGGAAAAGAAAGGGGATTTCTTCCATGTCTGAAGAAAACCCTTCCACTTGCAATTTATGTTGATCTCTGGATCAGGATGTGAAGCCGTACACCTCTCTTCATTCTTACTGACTGAGCATCTTAATTCTTCCAAACATACTAATTATCTGTTTGACTTGACCAAATTTTGCCATATTTCCATGTCAGGAATTTCTACAATATTTCTTAAAAAGCGCAATCAAGCGTTCGCGATTATAAATCTCTGATGTGTTATAAAACTTCCTGATTGCCAGATTCAAAAACTTAGCATTAAATGAGTGGTTATTAAAATCCACAAATTCCACTTATGTAGACCAGTCTACACAAGACATGAAGAGGCTGGCAGGGTCCCTTTAGTTTTAAGTTTTTTTTAAAACCATAGACTATATTCTGTATTTTAGTACATAATCCGGATACCACCTACACGAGCTGTAAAAAGCATCACAAAATTTTATCAATTAAAAGCAATAACAAAATATGTGTCATCTTATCAAGTTGGAAAAGCAAAGCATGCATTTTCAAAATGTAATGCCTCCACCTCTGTTTTGTGCAGCATACATAATGAATCGCCATATCAACATAACCCCAATTTACAAATACCAGCATATGACATATATGTCTAGAGAGCTATCCCCCACAGACAATTCAAAACACAATTTATCTAGCAGATATAAATATTGGGCCAGTAAGCATTTCAATTAAAGCGCTGGGGAAAATTCAGGAAGCATTTGCCTTTTCATTAAAAACAAAAGAAGCAAACTTTCATAATAAGAATCAAATTCACGATGTGTTCTCCAGGCTGGAACTTTTGCACCGAAAGATGGATGTTAGGCACGGGTGACTAGATAAACGAGGTAAAGCAGCCCTAACCATGTCCATGGATTATGCAAAGAAACTGCCCCCAAATCACAATAGGATTAGTGTTGTGCTTGATAAAGACAGAATGTGGTTCTCGTTCAATGTCCTTGCTACGTTCAATGTAATGGAAATATGATGTAAAGACTGGTGGAGCAAACATTCCATTCAATTGTCACCCATGCTATCCCTGGACCGGTTATGCATGTCCACTGAGCGTCATTTGTTCATGTGAAACAACTGGAAGACTCTAGACCATAGCTAAAGCTTGGTAAGAAAATTGCCAGAAATTAATTAGAGCCATAGCTTGTAAATAAATGATTTTATTGTTCATCTTCACGTGTGAAAGACATCACTACAGAAACCATTATTTTCAAAGTTACAAAATTATTTAAAACAAGGTTTTGAAAACTTGTTCTAATAAGGTGCTTAAACCTCTTTAACAAGGACAAAATTAAACATGAGAAAGAACCTTAATGAAAATTAGTTAATCTAAGCAGATATTGTTCAAAAGTAAACACAAGGCCAGATCCTAATAACACAATTAAATGACTACTGTACCTGTGACATGTAACCTGAGGGTTTAGGTTTAAGATATTGTAAACCAGAAGGCAGGAAGAGAAATTAACAACCAGAGGAGACAATCTGAATATCTTTTCATTATGTCTTTTTAACCATCAATGTTTAGCTGCAGGCAGCTTGGCATTGTGAAGCCACTGATTCCTAAAAAATTATGTATGCCTTAGAAAACAAATTTCAAATCTGCAGCCCAGTTTTGGATCCTCCCAGGATAAAACATGATTTGAGCACACTGATATTAACTGCATGTATTTTCTTTACAACCATCATTTGAAAACCCACTTAGATTATGGTTACAACTTCAAGTTTAAAAGTGGAGCCAGGGTTTTGTCTACACATGTATAACTTAAAAGACCTAAAACTGATACTTGGATGGAACCATGCCACGGTTGGCTAAAAGCTAAAAAAAAATGTTGTATTTTTTTTGACTTCTCATTAATGAATTTTTTTTTCATTCAGGCAACAAATTTCCATTTCACATTCCAATTTTTCTTCACCAATTTTCTCTATCTTTGGTTATATGTTTTCTATCAAGGGTTTTCAAATTCATATTTTATAGGCCGTTAAATATCTAGCGTTAATATCAGTCTACAAGTTAAGAGTCCAAGAAGACCAGCCACATTTAATTTTTTTTTTAATTTTTTTTTTTTTTACATTATGTGGCTTACAGAACAAGATCTGCAAAACTGACATCTCAACATTGGTGTGACTTCCTGGGAACCGCTCCAATGTACAGAGAGTAGCAAACTATCCTCTTAGTATGAACTCATCTTGCTCAGTTCTTAGAAGTCATAGTTATGCATTAAATGCAAGACAGGAAAAAAAAAAATCCAACGGAGCAGAAAAATGAAAAGAGAATGCAGGCATCCCTGCTTTAGATGTGAACTAAAACCAAATCCAAGAGGTTTTTAATGTGTTTTCTTTCTTAATATTTATTTAAAAATCTAGAGCTTGACCCAAGGAGGATAAGGTGGAGGAGGAGGGTTAGTAATATGGCTCATTGAACAGTTCCATAAACACATATACGTTCACAACCACCAATTCTTACAACAGAAAGGAAACTTCTCTTGGAAGAAGTTCTGGTAGATGTTAAAACCCCTGTGTTCAATTTGCGTCAAGGGCCTTTTAAGTCACTTGTTGGCACTATTTCAGCAAAGGGTAACAGTATTTGGGAAAAGACATCCAGGTTTGTTTGTTGTTTTTGATTCTCGGAATGTTTTGCTAATGAAAATTAAAAATAAAATCCCAATGGTGCTTTTTTCAAAAGGCAACTGGACTTTCTTTGTTTCTTTTTTCCCCTCTTGAAAACATTTCGTTTCTCTCATCCGAGAAGCATCTTCTGACCTTCATGAACTGAAGATGCTTCTTGGATGAGAAGCGAAGAAAAAGAGAGAGAGAAAAAAAAACCAAGACAGTCCAGTCGCCTTTTGAAAAAAAAAAGCAACACTGGGACAACCATGACCTGGATGACTGACAATCTCCATAGATCAGGGCTGTCAAACT